CATTGTACAGTGGCATTAAGTGCCATAATGTGCACCTCTGCCTACCACTTCGGGGATAAAAGGCGTGATGTTATGTTGTTGTTGTTATATTGACAATAAATTAAAACTAAAATCACTTAAATCAAACAAGTCGTTTTTTATTTATTGATTTTTTTGTTGTTAGATCGGGATTTATTAACCAAAACAGAAAATGTTGAATATCTCAGAAACTAGCCACTTTCGGACCAGAGACCTCGGACCTAATTTTGTAGGAAATTAGTTGTATTATCTCCTCCCGAGAGGATTACGTCGAGTTACAAGTCACCCTGTATAAAAAACTGTCGTTCGAACATGGTACTTACTCCTTTTTTTAAAGTCGGTAATAAATTCTTATCAATATAAATAAAAATGAGTTTCCGTTTGTTAGTCTAGTAAAACTCTAGAACGGCTGAACTGAAATAGCTAACTTGAAATATTTGTGAAAGTCCAGGGAAGGTGTACCTAAAAGGCAAGAAAAAAATGTTTCAGGTAATAGTTTGGTAAGTCAGCTATTTATATCCTTACTATTATAAATGGGAAAGTGAGTTTGTTTGTTTGTTTGTTTGTTCCGACTTCACGCCGTAACTACTAAACCGATTGCATTGAATTTTTGCAGACATAAAGTTAGTAGTCTGGATTAAATAATAGGGTACTTTTTATCCCGAAAAAATTTGATATTCCCGAGGGAAAACAAAAGTATTGGTATAGATGGCGCTGTATGTATTGGTATATGTCACATAGACTACTTTTTATCCTTTTGTGACGCGAGCGGAGCCGCGGGTAAAAGCTAGTAATAAATAATCATGTTGCTTAAATATTCGTATATTGTAAAACTTTGCACAATTTATTGTAAATGTAAGACCCCTGACAATAGGGTAGATGCCTAATTTTTATTTTAATGTCCGTATGGTAGATTATTTTAAATCATTAGACACGTATTTTTTATTTTCTTACAAAAACGAATACTTTCGACAATATTATTTTATATACGACAAAATAAAAAAATACGTGTCTAATATTTTTTAATTACCTAACTTACGGACTAATAAGATTTTTAATTTTCATACCCTGTCATCATCCCAATGTAGAATGCATTTTGTGTTAGCTTGGAGTTATCATGGTCACTCGGGAATCTCATGCGCGGTAGCACGTACATTGGATAGCTTGATTCCCTATATATATGGTTGTGTTGGGCGGTGCTGGTGCACGTGTCACGTTCATGGATGGGCACTGTAAACTGGGACTAGTCATCTCCAGACTGTCTGATTTTATTGTCTTTATTTAGGGTTATATTATTTTTCGATCTCTGACCGGATTTTGGTGTTACATTGTTCTCACATTAGGCTCACCCCTATTACATGGGACTCATAACATAAATAGTGAAAAGTTGGTGTTACATTGTACAGTGGCATTAAGTACCGTAATGTACACCTCTGCTTACCCCGTCGGGGATAAAAAGCGTGATGTTATAATATGTTATTGTTCTCACACAATTGAACTAACAAAACTGTGTAACCAAATATTGTGTAGTAAACCTGATTGAAAATGAATACCTAACCTATGAAATTCCTTGCTCGTTCTTCTCCATAGGAATATACAAATTGGAATGAACAAATAGCTACACTTTAATTTTTTGTTGACGTTAAAAGCGTCTTTCTGGTCTAATTAAAATAAATGATTTTGACTTTGACTTGACTTGACGTGTACCGGCAGGTAGGACGCAATAAAATAAGGCAACATTTAAATTGACTTTATTCCATTTATTTACACATTCTTTTAAATATTCAAATAGATATTTAAAACAAAAAACAATAAAAAATCTAATAATAATAACTACTACTAATATTTAAGCTACTAGCGTCCAGGACTCAAGAACTAACCACGTGGTTTGGATGGCCAGCCGCATCAGCAGAGTGAAGCTATAAGTAATACACCTCTACCACAATGACAGACGAACATATCTCAAGTGCCAAATCAACTTTATATTTTATCTTCCACATTTTTTGTGAGAAAATTTGATGCCAAATTCAAAGTTTTCTGACTAGTATTATCATTGTTCACAGCTCGCTAGTCTGTGAATCACCAAATCAAGCTTATTGTTGAGGATACTTATAAATAATAAGTTCGGTCTAATATTATACATAAGGAATATCTTTCAATCGAGGGGTGGTATTCCAAAACAATAATATGTTAACGCACAATACCCTGCTGTATGTTGTGTAACTGAGTCCAATAATCCAAACCGTAAGTTCAAGATATTTTTTTGGAATTTTTGCATAAAACTGAACAACTATACTAATTCTAATTATCTTTTATTGTATTTTGTGTATGATATGATTGTATGTACATTGTATGTAACTGGAATGAATTGAAAAATTGTTAAGATACCAACTAAACAACCCGTTATATCTATTTTCAACTACAAATACCTAAATTACAATTATATAATGGCCTACTTTATATCGGTATATCCTGTTCAGGCGGGATCACTGAAACAATAAAAAAGCAAAATGAATAAACTATTAAGTAGTAACCTTTTTTGTTATTGTGAATTAATCAAAGCAGGTAATTTGAATTTAATTATGCATTAAACCAAGTAAAGGTGGAACTTCTAGGCGCCAGGAACGTATTGTTTTTTCAGTATGGAAATTTGCGAATGTACTATACTATCTACCATCGCGTCTAAAGGTTTTCATACATGAAAGCCTTTTTTTATGATATAAAAAGGCCTGCATATTTGTAATGAAAAATGACAATATGCATAGTAAGATTAAATGCAAGTAAAGTAACATTGGGTGATCAGTGATGCTACACCTTTGACGATGACTGGACCCTCTTCTCTGTTTCTTCACCACATATTTTCCCCTTATGCCTGGTTGCGGACACCCCCTAAGGTAAGATTTCCAATTTTAGTTTGACATAATCCTGCTTTTACTACACTAAATCAAGTAAACTAATTGCAGTTCTGAACCAGTCTGAAAAAGTTGTTTAAATTGACAAAAAAATACAAAATCATAGTCAACATTTCATGATCCCATGGTACGTACATAAAAAAGTGGTAATCACAAATCGTAGTGCCGATCAAAATCCCAATACATCTGCTCAACATACTTATGCAAACTTTTTGATAATAGTAATTGAATCACATACCAAATGATCGTGTTTTGTAGTGGTCGTATCCCTTTTTAGACGCAAAAGCAACGAGCAACCCGGCACCAAAAGAACAAAACAGTATTATTAGCAGCGTTGTCAACGAATACTTGTTCGGATCCTCGCTATTTGTCAAAGGGTTTGCTTTTCCACTTCTGAAAAAAATAAATATTCACTTTAACTTCTTCAACAATAGTACTTTTAAATCATACATACAAAAACAAGCTGTTTTAGTTGACACAGCTTGTTTTAATACGGTACTTACTCTCCTCCGACGGTTGTACCATTGCGTGCTTTACCATGGCCTGGAACTGGTGATACTGATGGCTTAGTTTTGTCATCTGTTCTATTGCCCGCTGCGCCATGGCCTGGATCTATTGGTACTAATGACTTAGTTTTGTCATCTGTTCTATTGCCCGCTGCGCCATGGCCTGGATCTGTTGATACTGATGACTTAGTTTTGTCATCTGTACTATTGCCCGCTGCACCATGGCCTGAATCTGTTGATACTGATGACTTAGTTTTGTCATCTGTACTATTGCCCGCTGCACCATGGCCTGGATCTATTGGTACTAATGACTTAGTTTTGTCATCTGTACTATTGCCCGCTGCACCATGGCCTGGATCTATTGGTACTAATGACTTAGTTTTGTCATCTGTACTATTGCCCGCTGCACCATGGCCTGGATCTATTGGTACTAATGACTTAGTTTTGTCATCTGTACTATTGCCCGCTGCACCATGGCCTGGATCTATTGGTACTAATGACTTAGTTTTGTCATCTGTACTATTGCCCGCTGCACCATGGCCTGGATCTATTGGTACTAATGACTTAGTTTTGTCATCTGTACTATTGCCCGCTGCACCATGGCCTGGATCTATTGGTACTAATGACTTAGTTTTGTCATCTGTACTATTGCCCGCTGCACCATGGCCTGGATCTATTGGTACTAATGACTTAGTTTTGTCATCTGTACTATTGCCCGCTGCACCATGGCCTGGATCTATTGGTACTAATGACTTAGTTTTGTCATCTGTACTATTGCCCGCTGCACCATGGCCTGGATCTATTGGTACTAATGACTTAGTTTTGTCATCTGTACTATTGCCCGCTGCACCATGGCCTGGATCTATTGGTACTAATGACTTAGTTTTGTCATCTGTACTATTGCCCGCTGCACCATGGCCTGGATCTGTTGATACTGATGACTTAGTTTTGTCATCTGTAATATTGCCCGCTGCACCATGGCCTGGATCTGTTGATACTGATGACTTAGTTTTCTTACCTATAATATTTCTGTACAACAAAAATGTAAATAAATACTTTTGTTATTTTAACAACAAATTAAAAATAAATACATAAATTACTTGAATGTTCAAAAATTTAGAAGCTCCAAATGAACTTACTTAAATCCTTCGCAAAATAGATCCATGTTGTTTTTCCTGAAACAAATGTTTAACCATTATTGGCAGCCATTACAGCTAATTAGAACCCAAGAATAGACTTTGAATCTAACCATAACATATTCTTAGCTATGTATAAGTTGTCATCACCGCCTATATTATATCAGCCACAAGACGCCTAGTTCCCCAGAAAAACAGAATACATTTATATAATTGCAATTTTTGCCCACGGATGTCGAAAGCGGCGAACAAGGGACTACACATTTGAAAGAGACCGGGCAGCGCAGCTCTCTGACAACACATGAACCTTTCTAATCTGGATCGTCAACTCATCTGCCAAACGTAACGAGAGTTGGCAAACCATAATTATATTTATGCAAGAAAAGAGTAGGTTTACACTATTAACAACAGCTTTTTACTGAGAATAAATGTATTATAAGTACCGTGTGACTTTTGTCGTCTTACAACTGCAGCGCAGTTCATATTTACAATAACTAGTAAATGTTAATTGTAAAAAGATATTTATGAGATTTTAATAATTTATGAATTATTTATTATTATGACACGAGGCTATTCAATCTCATAGAAAAGGGAGATGGAATGATCTAGACGACTCGTCCGCTGGGTACACTTTATAATTTAATTCATACACATTTTTTAGAAATATTTCATACTTTTTATGTATTAGGTATTTATTTTTATTTTAACCTATTATCCTTATTAATGATGGATAAAATAAAAAATCATGCGCTCAGAGTTTTTATAACGTCGGACACATTGTGTGGGCCACTTTTGTAAGATGAATAAAAGTCACGGTGTATCATAAGTACATACACTATCTAATAGAGGTATTATAAATGCGAAAGTTTCTTTGTTTGGATATTTGCCCGTTAATCACGCTGAAACTACTGAACAGATTTTGTTTATTTAGTGTACTGGCAGGGTATGGGCTGGCTTAGATGATAGGATACTTTTTATACCGATTAAATGCTCCCATGGGATAAACAGGAATCATAATATACGTGGACCAAATCGCGAGCAACAGCTAGTACTTTATAAACGAAGTATACTCACATAGGATCCATTGGTGTGTAGAACGGCAGATCTAGAGAACACTGAAATAATACAAGGCTGTGAGAAAATACAAGATCACATTTGAGTACATAAGTCAACAATATTCATTCTCCTTTACGTGTCCACAAAGGCGACATGCAAATGGTGCCAGGTAATCGGTAAGGTTCCAACAGTTATCAAAAAAAATCTAAATTATACGTTTATACTTTTTAAATTACAGTGACTTGTGCGTTATCAATGTTACACACGAAAATATCCCTGTGCCAGTATTTTAACTATTGTTGTTACAAATCTTCATTTTTCGTCGGTCACCTGATTACCTGGTAACACTTGGACGTCGACTTCACGGACACCTGTATGCGAATACATTATCTCTATCCAGGGTGTATGTACACCCTGTATATGACAAGTAAATATATGAAACAGAATATGCATCTTTGCACTATTTATTTTAAACAATAACGTTTATATTGTTACTCTAAATGTTAATCTAATTTAAAAATAGCCAGTAATTAAATAATGGCATCATTAACAATCCTGTTATCGGAATGAGGAAATTTAATCCAGTAAACAGTAACTACGTAGGTAGTGTTGTGTATACTCGTAACATAATTTTAAAATTAGGTACTAAGGTTCGTGATAAATATTCCCGTGCACTTGACTTCAATATTTGTTTACGAGCAGTGGATGCGTTTGGTGATACATTTTTTTATTACCCACTGTACCATGTAACACCTACTTTTCACTATTTTATGTTATGTAATAGGGAGTGAGCCTATTGCCATAACGGGCACAATTCAGACTCCGTGCAACCACTGAGAATTTTTTTAAGCCCTGTATGACTTTGCCCGACCCGGGAATCGAACCCGAGATCCCTTGCTCGGGAGTCGCACTTGCGACCACTCGGCCAACAAGGCAATCAGTATAGTTATAAATATAGTAATATATCAATTTTGTTTTTACTTATATGTTTTTAATCAATCTACTGAATTCTCGGAAAGAAGATAAAAATTGTAGTACTGTCACAGACTTGATTAGATGACTGTTATAGCAATCCATCAATGATGAACTATTTGCGACTGGCCATCGATGTCGAATTAATACGAGGCATCTTGAGAAAAGTCTTATAAAGATATGTAAAGTCTTACATACCTAGATATACAAAAATGACGTACCTATCTATTATCACAATTACGTTAGAATTCTATTTAATTTCATTATGTTTTTAAACAAATATTTCATAATAACTATCGTGAGACATACTAAATTAAGTAAAAACGCGGGTTACTCACGTGAATAACCCGCGTTTTTACTTAAAATATTTCATAGATTTAATGAAATGTACACTTACTTTCTTCTGCTTTAGCTGATTACTGAAAAAAAAATCATTTCTTATTATTCATTATTTCATGGCCAAAATAAAATAATAGAAAATAATAAATTGTCTTATTTTCTCCAATTTTAATCGATTTGATACTCAATTTTATTAATAGATACAATTGAGTATAACATAACGTCATCACGACTTTTATCCCCGAAGAGGTAGACAGAGGTGTACCTAAATTACGCCACTGTACAATGTAACACCCAATTTTAACAATTTATGTTATGAGTCCCATGTAATAGGGGGTGACCCTATTGCCATATACCGGGCACAATTCCAGACTCCGTGCTGTTACTGAGAATTTAAAAAAAATCCAATGACACCTTTCCCGACCCGGGAATCGAACCCGAGACCGCTTGCACGGCAGTCGCACTTGCAACCACTCGGCCAACGAGACTGTCAATTGAGTATAATATTTGTGAAACTACCGGTACAATGTAGGTACCAACTTAACTTAATGTTTTCAAGGTATCATCGAGTAAAAATATTAAAAATAAATTATTTACATGGTACATGCGCAGATCATGTCAGCTGTCTCGTATCTGCAAAAAATAATAATTATAATGTAATAATACACAATGATAAAAAACAATATAATTAAAGTGTTTAAACTAAAAGATTGTTTTGAAGCTTTTTTTATAGCTGTTTATTTCTCGTAAAATACAATTTTATACAAATCTTTACTTAAACTTAAATAGAAAAGATTTAATAG